TCAAAGCTATTTGAAAGACAAGACAACCACTAAAAACTTAACAAATTGATTTCTGCATAATATAAGTTGAAAAAACAATAATGCTAACAAATACAAATGTGCTCATTTATCATGGAATTCACTCTAAAGTATGTCGTACTACCGACTCTTAATCAGTACACTTGCCACGTATACCCATATATCTTACACTTTGCCCAAACTCGTCCCTCTTGGGTTTTAACAAACTTCAAAACAAAATTATTTTGTACTGTAAAATCAACCAAATGATGGAGTCATTCATTTATAATAAAAATATTGGATGGTTTGCAGAACAATCTTGTTGCCATCTCCTCTTGTAGACGCCCCATTTTGAATATGGAAAATTTTATTATTTTCGTAACTTTAGACAACCCTTAGGACCATACTATTCTAAAAAGTCCTTGAACCATAGAGCACCATAATCCATGGTCCCCATCCTGTGATCCACTATCTTAATAGGATCCCCCATTTTGGAAATAAAAAAAAGAAATAAAACATCACATTTTATCCCGAAAATTGGAAAGTTATCATTAAAAAACATGTAAATAACTGTGAAAATTATAATTTCAAATTTTTGTGATATTTGGGCAGTGAGACACAAGGTATGCTACTCAGATTTGTTGAAGGCATAAGGTGTGTCGCCCGGCCCTATGACATCCACAACATGGTTCAAAGTTAGAAGATCAGCTAATTTATGGTAATTATGGATTTCACGAGTTTTTGGATATATAAAAACACATTTTCACGACCTATTAGAGGTTGGTGAGAAAAACCCTAGAGACCGTGTCCCGTCGTTGGTCCGTTCGTCGACCCGCTACCCTAAGCCTAGAATATTAGGATCTTCCACCTCATATTTTATGAAACTCATCATCAATCTCCAACCCTTATGCCTTGTTTGGGACCTTATATACAAAAATACTGGGTTTATCTCAATACCTGGTTTTATTGATTCTAGTTTGGGACCTTAAATATAAAAGCTGAAAAGTTGGTTTTGAGCACAATGTTGTTTGGCTGGCTGGTGGAAAAACCCTATATATATATATATATATATATATATTACAAACGACTTATCGACGAAATAGAACAGTAGTAT